TTAAAAATGCAGCTAATAAGAGTCCTCAGTTTCCATGAATTAGAGACTGGGAGCTTGGGAACCAAGTACAGAGTGAAACTAACTTACCTTTGAGGTCCCTTTCAGATCAAACATTCTACAATCCCGAGGAGTCAGACGAGCATAACTTACTTTCCAAATTTGGCCTGTCCTTCAGAGTCTGGTCCAAATGCCACATCTTCCCAGAGCCACCCCAGGGGGAAGAGACTGTTCTCTTCTCTAAAGGCCCATAACACTTTATCCTGTTTAAAGAATGTATCTGAAGATTTCCTAGTGGCACCAATCACTTTCTACCCGGCATTAGAGTTATTTGGGTGAAGAATTTATTCCTTCCCTGGTACCAGAGCTCCTTGGTGGAGAGCGTGTATGAGTTCATCGTGCCTGATAGGAGGCCTTGCTTCATTAAATGTTTGACAGGTGGACTTATAAACTGGCAGCTTGGTAGAAACAAAACCCAGTAAATCATCACATAGAAAAACAGCCTTGCTAGAAATTTAGGTGCAACTACTAAAGTATTAAATTCAATATGGCGGGGGGACTTCCATGGTGGCACAGTGGTTAAGAATCTGCCTGCCAATGCAGGGGACACGGGTTCGGGCCCTGGTCCAGGAAGATCCCACATGCCTCTGAGCAACTAATCCTGTGCGCCACAACTACTGAGCCTGCGCTCTAGAGCCCGTGAGCCACAACTACTGAGCCTACGTGCCACAACTACTGAAGCCCACGTGCCACAACTACTGAAGCCCGCGTGCCTAGAGCCCATGCTCCACAATAAGAGAAGCCACTGCAATGAGAAGCCAGCACACCACAATGAAGAGTAGCCCCTGCTCACCACAACTAGAGAAAGACCGCGCGCAGCAACGAACACCCAATGCAGCCATAAGTAAATAAATAAATAAATTTATTTTAAAAATTCAATAGGGGGACTTCCCCGGTGCCACAGTGGATAGGACTCCACGCTCCCAGTGCAGGGGGCCCGGGTTCGACCCCTGGTTGGGGAACTGGATCCCACATGCAGGCTGCAACTAAGAGTTCGCATGCCATAACTAAGGAGCTGGTGAGCTGCAACTAAGGAGCCCTGGAGCCACAACTAAGGAGCCTACCTGCCGCAACTAAGACCTGGTGCAGCCAAATAAATAAATATTTTTTTAAATAAATAAATAAATAAATTCAGTTTAAGGGACTTCCCTGGCGGTCCAGTGGTTAAGACTCCACACTTCCACTGCAGAGGGCCTGGGTTTGATCCCTGGTCGGGGAACTAAGATCCTGCATGCCACGTGGTATGGCCAAATATGTAAATAAATTCAATTAAAAAAAATGTAACAGCCCAAACCCAGGGTTGGCAGCCTTGTGGAGAAACATGCTGTTATGGATTGGACCGTGTTCCTCCAAAATTCACATGTTGAATCCAAGGACTTCAGAATGTGACCTTATTTGGAAGTAGGGTCGTTGCAGATGTAATTAGTTGAGATGAGGTCATGAGTGTGGGCGCTAATCCAATATGACTGATGTCCTCATAAGAAGGCGGAATTAGGACACAAATGTGCACACAGGGAGGACAGCATGTGAAGATGAAGGTAGAGATCGGGGCGAAGCTTCTGCAAACCAAGGAATGCCAAAGCTTGCCAGCAAGCCCCTAGAAGCTAGGGGAGCAGCACGGAACAGACTCTTCCTCGCAGCCCTCAGAAGGAACCAACCCTGCCAACACTTTGATCTCAGACTTCAGCCTCCAGAAACTATGAGACAATAAATTTCTGTTGTTTAAGCTACCCAATCTGTGGTACTTTGTTTCAGCAGCCCTAGCAAACTAAGGCACATGCCCACTTGTATGTTGCTCATGGGCCTGGGGACTGTTTATCCTCTCAGACCCAGAATTCACTTCTGAAATAACCCTACAGTTAAAATAAAATACGTTGTGGAATACTGCTCAGCAATAAAAAGGAAAAAATTGCTGATACATGCAACAACTCAGATGAATCTCCAGGGAATGATGCTGAGTGAAAAAAGCCAGTCCTAAAAGGTTACATCATGACTGATTCCATTTATATAACATATTTATTTGAAGTGACAGGATTGTAGAAATAGAGAACAGATTAGTGGTACCATAGGTTAGGAGTGAAGGGGAAGGGTATGCTTATAAAAGGGCAATGAGAGGGATCTTTGTAGTCAGAATTGTTCTTTGTCTTGACTGTGATGGTGGCTACTTGAACCAACACGTGATAAAGTTGCATAGAAACACACACACACACATGTACAAATAACACTGGGGAAATCTGAATAAGACTGGTGGATTGTATCAATGTTACTATCCTGGTTTTTGCAAGACGTTACCATTGAGAGAAACTGGGCAAAGGGAACAGGGTATTTTCTCTGTATTAATTCTTACAAGTGCATGTGAATTTACAAGGACCCCAAAATAAAAAGTTTAATTCAAAAAAAATGACTTTGTCCAAGGATGTTCATAGCGTCCCTAACCGAGGATAGAGGAGCATCGGAAATAACCTAAACTACCCACAACAGAAGTCAGCTAAAGCCCTGAGGGTTTAACTCCGGGGAGTGTTGTCTAGCTCCGAACAAGGACAAGTTTGTGGACTGAATAAATATAAAAGTGAATTAGTGTTAAGTGAAAAAGCAGATGACATCACAGCAGGTTCTCTCTGAGCCATTTTGTGAAAAGCATGGCTATACCTTGGCAGAGAGTTAATTCAAAAGGATGGAGATAATTCAGAAGTTCAAGTCCACTGGATCCTTCTTTTCGTCCTCCTCCTCCTTCTCCTTCTTATTCTCTCTACCTCTTGCTCTCTCTTTAAACATTACTTCAGTTTCAAATAAAATGACAACAATAAAATGAAATGAAACCCTGAGCTTTGCCATCCTCTGATCGTTGGCTTCTCCTTCCGTCTCCAGCAGGTGGCAGAAGTATTCCAAGGATGGTCCCCACGGTCTCCGTTTCCTGTGGATGAGCTGCAGACCCCAACAGCAGGTGGGGCTCCAGCATCAGTCCCGCCAGCTCAAGGAATCCAGACATCAGAACTGCCCTCTCCGAAATCCAGGGCAAGAAGGCAGTTGTCCGGCCACCATAGGGTTAACGGTCCACATTCCAGGGCAAGGGAAAAGGAGGCTGGAGGGTCACAGACAAAGGGAGAGGGTTCCGAGGGCCCCCTTCTCACAACATCACCGGCTCTGTTGGGAGAGATAGATCACCCGCAACAATGGCCACAGCTGTTTTCGTCTGCCCTGAAGGAAACTGACTTAGGAAGCAGGTATCAGAGAGGGCCCTTCCTGCAGGGGCTTCTGTCTGGCTTGTAAAACTGTCAGAGCAGCTGCATTCATGTGTCGAGTGATGGATGATGGAAAGAAGGGACAGAAGGCCGCAGATGGACACGGCGACTTACAAGTCGAGGCAGGTGGCAGAGGCTTTGCAGAGGCTCTGCAGGTGGGGTGCACTGATTCATTGCCCACTGAAAATACCAAGGGACCTGGGCCACAGCCCGCTTCCCAGCCTCCTTCAGGGCCAGGAGTGGGTGCGCCTCCTCAAACAATCTGTCTGCAGTGAAAGCTTCCGCTGGCTGTCTTTCCTTGTCCTGCATCTCAGGTGTGAACATTCCTCCCCCGGGCCCCTCCTCCTTCTCTGGGGCCAAGGTAGCAATTCCTTTTGGGTTCTCTGTGGCTAGCTGGACCTGGGATGGCTTCGCAGAATGCACCTGTGCTATTCACCAATAAGGTTTTCCATATAGGACTCAAAGCTGGTTTTGAACAATGTAATGAGCTGGGAGACAAGAAAAAAATATATATATCAGCACTAAAAATGCTGGCTTTCACTTTTGCTAAGAAAAGGGGTTTTGTGCTCTCCACTCCTACCCACAGCCTGGCCCAGGAAATAACTGCCTTTGGCCCATCAGCCTGCCAAGAAGTGCCTGTCACCAAGCACAGGATCCCCGAGGAGCATGAGCTGAGGTTTCCTCCTTGTCTCCATCACCAGAGCCTGTTGACTTCTCATCCTGGTCTTGAAACCGGAATCCCTGCCCCCTCAGCCAGTGGAAGCCCTAGCTGTGATCCTCCAGTTTTCCCCTCTTGCCTTCCAGAGGGATGACAAGAGGGGCTTTCTTGGTCAGGATAATTGATGCTGAGCTGCATGGGGTTGGGACCAATGAGATTTCTTAAAAAGTAGCCTTCTGGGCTTCCCTGGTGGCGCAGTGGTTGAGAGTCCACCTGCCGATGCAGGCGACGCAGGTTCGTGCCTCAGTCCGGGAAGATCCCACATGCCACGGAGCGCATGGCCGCTGAGCCTGCATGTCTGGAGCCTGTGCTCCGCAACGGGAGAGGCCACTGCAGTGAGAGGCGGAGCGGCTGGGCCCGTGAGCCATGGCCGCTGAGTCTGCGCGTCCGGAGCCTGTGCTCCGCAACCGGAAGGGCCACAACAGTGAGAGGCCCGCGTACCGCAAAAAAAAAAAAAAGTAGCCTTCTGCCTCTGCCTGGGTCTGTGAGGGCCAAAGAGACACCCCTAGGGCCGTTTTATTTTGGTGGGGTGACAAATGAACTTGGCCTGAGAAATGGGGTCGGCTGGGCTAAGACCTGTGGAGGACTCAGAGCTGCTGTTTTCTTTGTTAAGTTGGTCCAAAGTTTGCTTGGAGGAAGCCCGAGGGAACCAGGGAGGTAGAGACTAGGAGCTCATTTTGATATCTGAAAACCGCAGCCGCCTGCACGTGGGAGGCTCTGAGAGCAGGCTTGCCTCACACGCCCCCTCACTGTGGGTCACCTGGGAGAACCAGCAGCAATTTGGGAGGTTTCTGAGCTCAAGGAGGAGTCTTTGGGGAGGGCTTGCTCGGAGCACACCCCGTTCCCTCCCCCTGGGCTGAGGGAAGCATGGGACCAGCCCTGCCCCAGCCTGTCCTCATTGGCTGGCATGAGGCAGAGGGGGCTTTAAAAAGGCAAACGTGTCTGAGCTGGGGACCGGAGCCTGTGCTGCTGGAAGGCCGGGTGCCCCCCTCCAGCTGGCACCATGCAGCTCTCTCTTGCCCTGTGTCTCGTCTGCCTGCTGGTACACGCAGCCTTCCGTGTGGTGGAGGGCCAGGGGTGGCAGGCCTTCAAGAATGATGCCACGGAAATCATCCCCGAGCTGGGCGAGTACCCCGAGCCTCCGCCAGAGCTGAACAACAAGACCATGAACCGGGCAGAAAACGGAGGGAGGCCTCCCCACCACCCCTTTGAGACCAAAGGTATGGGATGGGGGAGAGCCTTTTTAGCATAAGGGTCCTGGGAGGGTTCTCTTTGGGGAGGTCTTGAAGACTGGGGTAGACTGTCAGCCGCTGCCAGCACCAGTGGAGGCACCATCTTGCCTGTAGGCAGGGTATGGACGGCATGCCAGCGTAGCCCTGGAATTCAAGTGCAAGGGTGTGGGGCTGGTAGGGGGCTGACAGCGAGATCCCAGAGCAGGAAGGAGGCTGAGGTGGAGACGGACAGCCTCAGGGGCTCAGAAAGGAGATTTCAAGGAATCCCCTCCTGAGAAGAGGGGAGAAAGGTCCAGCTGCTGACACCACCGGGGAGAAAATAAGGCAAGGGGGCCTCACGTCTATGAGCGCCTGCTGGGTGCAGCTACTACATGGGCTGTGCCTGAACCATACCCTGGGGAGCTCCCAAGTTGAAGGTGAAGAAACGGAGGCTTCAGAGAACAGGTAGCTTGTTAGTGAGTAGAGGGCTGAGATTTGAAGCCAGTTTGATCCAATTACAAGACAGCCCTGGTGGGGGACTGTGTGGGGGCCATCGGAGGCCGAAAGCCAGAGCAAATCCCTGCAAAGCAGTGGGAAAGGGACACCAAAGAGGCACCCCTTCAGCTCCCACCACCCATGGTCTACCCAGTGAGCTGGCACTTGACGGAATAGGAGCTGCAGGCACAGTTTTAGCTTCTGAACTGGGTGGTAATTGGGTCCAGGCCCTGGAGGGGAGGCAGCATCCTCTGTGCAGGGTGCGGACACAGGTGGCACCATCTGTCCTGAATCCCCACCCCAGACCCTGACTTGCCTCCTTCCTGGGAGGGACACTGACCCTAGCGGAAAGGCAGTGGCCCCAGTGGAGGGCACACCTGGGTTCCTGGTCAGGTCTGCACATAGAAGCCTGGGGGGCAGTGTGCACAGCTGGCTCTGCAGCTGGCAGGAATGGCTGGGGGCGGGGGCTGGAATGACGCTTCAGAGTCAGAGGCCCTCTGGCTATGGTCCAGGTGAGAGAGGAGTCCACTGCCCAGGCCCCTGCATCCCATCCTGCCCTGCCTCACAACCAGCTGGGAATGGGGGTCTGCAAAGAGCACCCCCCGAAGAGGCCTCTCCCCTGCTCCTGCCCAGGGAAGGTCAGCTAAGCTCAAGCAATGGACTGTAGGGGACCCAAGCACAGGACGTCCTCCCTGGGCTCCCATGAGAGCTACAGGCCGGGAGGAAGCCACGTGCTCAAAACAAAGTCGCCCTTTGCAGAGGAAGCGCCTAACCTAGGGGTACTATTCTTGGAAAGCCCCAAAGCCTCCTTCCCTGGGCAAACAGGCCACGCCCACACACCACCCCCGGGGCCTGGGAGCAGAGGTGAGGATGCCAAACCAACCCAGAAGCCAGGAGGCCAGCCATGGGAGAGAGGGAACCCTGACATCTCCCCTGCTGTGCTTGTTCTCACGGGGAAGGCAGGGGTGGGGGTGGTTGGCCTTCTTTGCCTCCTCTCTGGTTTTGGACTTAGGACTATTTTTCATCCCTTTGTGTCACATTGGAACTGTCCCTATGAGACCCTTGGGGATGGGCAAGTGCTCACATGAGGACAAGCTGTTTAAAAAAGCTCCCACCCATCTAAGCCCACACTAGGAGACATGATCAAGGTGTCTTCGGGGACAAAGCCAGGCCTTAGAGCCCAAACTTTCTCTGCCCAGGGAGCAAGCCTGTGCCACCACTGGGTATCCATCAAATGTCACAGAAGAGACTCGCCCAGCATGGTGCCTGGTACACAGCACGTGCTTAATAAATGTTTGTGGCGGCCAGTGAGAGCTTGGTATCCCTCTGGTAGGGAAGTGAACATAGCAAAAATAGTAAAAAGCAGGCCTTTGTCCCCCACCCAGCATCCCTCGGTGATCGGGCACACAGCTTCAACTCTTGTGGGAGCTGAGAAGCTCTGGGACCCCAGAGGAGCAGAGTCAGGAGACCGGCTCTGTCTAACTGGAAAGAGCTTTTCCCTCTCTGGACCTCAGTGTCCACAGTGATAATGAGGGGGCTGGACATGCTGCCATTGGCTCCTTTCAAGTCCAACGACTTCGGTCTCCTCTCCACCCCCCCTTCCATTCTTCTCCGTAGCTGCCCTGATTTATTATCTTCAATTAACCTCTACTCCTCTTTCCATCCCCAGACCCCCAGTCTCCCCTCTCAACCGGCTGGAAAAGGAATTTGGGAGAAGCCAGAGCCATTCAGAGAACATGGCTAATACCTACCCTACTGAGGCCAGGGGCCCTGTGGCACAGATGTGACTTAAGTCTGGCAAAGAGGGCCCCCTTGGAGAGGAATAATAATAACATAACAACAGTCAACACTTCCAGCTCTTAGTATGTTCCAGGCAGTGTCCTCTGCATTATAGATGTAATGGATTAGCTCACTGAATCTTCAAGACAACCCATTTTACAAACAGGAAGCACAGAGAGGTTAAGTAACTAGTCCAAGGTCACACAGTCATGGAGCTGATATTTGAACTGAAGCAATCACTTGGCTCCAAAGTTTTAGGGGGAGAGGGTGAATAGGAGATCTTTCCCCCAACTCCAGAGTACCTGGGCCCTTCCCATAATAGATCCCCAGAGGCAAAAGCGTCGGGGGAGAGGCAGGTTTGGAAGAGGCGGAGTGGTTTGGAGGGAGGCGGGACGGATGGTCGCCCTCACGCGCGCTTCTCTCCGCAGACGCCTCCGAGTACAGCTGCCGCGAGCTGCACTTCACCCGCTACGTGACGGACGGGCAGTGCCGCAGCGCCAAGCCGGTCACCGAGCTAGTGTGCTCGGGCCAGTGCGGCCCGGCGCGCCTGCTGCCCAACGCCATCGGCCGCGGCAAGTGGTGGCGCCCGAGTGGGCCCGACTTCCGCTGCATCCCCGACCGCTACCGCGCGCAGCGGGTGCAGCTGCTGTGTCCCAGCGGCGCGGCACCGCGCGCGCGCAAGGTGCGCCTGGTGGCCTCGTGCAAATGCAAGCGCCTCACCCGCTTCCACAACCAGTCTGAGCTCAAGGATTTCGGGCCCGAGGCCGCCCGGCCACAGAAGGGCCGGAAGCCGCGGCCCCGCGCCCGGGGCGCCAAAGCCAACCGGGCGGAGCTGGAGAACGCGTATTAGAGCCCGCCCGCCGCGCCGCGCCGCGCCCCCAGCGGGCGCCCCCGACCCAGGCGCCCCAGGTTTCCGCCCCTTGCGCTCGCGGTTTGATCGTTTGTGTTTCACTTTAAATACCTGCAACCCAGGGCCGGGGGCTGAAACCTTCCCGGCTGCAGGCCCTGGGGATCCGGGTGTCAGCAAAGCCCCCCCCCACCGCACCCCGCCTGCCGAGGGGGTCCCCAGGGGCAGGGGAGGGAGCTGAGCGTCACAGACACTGAGCCACGCAACCCCGCCCTCCGGGCCGCCTACCTTTGCTGGTCCCACTTCAGAGGAGGCAGAAAAGGAAGCATTTCACTGCCCTGGAGTTTTAAGGGAGCAGTGGAGAAAAGTCTAGGGACTGGTTAAGAAAGTTCGATAAGGTTCCCCTTCCCCCCACCTCTCTGCCTGGCAAGTTGTGCCCAGAACACATGACTGGGGTCCGTAGATAGGGTTTCTAGTCCTGGCTCTGCCACTAACGTGCCGGGTGACCTCGGATTATTACACTCTTCTCTTTCTGGACCTTGATTTCCTCTTTGTAAAGTGGAAGTCGGGGGTGGGATTAACATCTGGAGGAATTAACATCTGGAGGAATCTACTGTCATATAATTCCAAGGACTCGGGTGCCCTTTGAATGGGCAGAGGAGAGAGCGTTTGGATTGAATCACTGACGTGTTCGCTTCCAGAATTCGGAGTTGTAATCCTCTGATCTGACAGCCAAAGATGAAAAGCAGAGAAAAAGAAAAAAGTCTATTTATGGCTGACAAACTCCTGGAAGAAGCTGTGGTGTGTCCCAGCCTGGCCTCCCAGATGTTTGGCTGCCTCCACCCCTCCATCTCAAAGGATGCAGAAACAGCACCATCAACTGGGGTAGAGAAGGTCCCAAGGGTGGTGGGAAGCACAGAAATCACCCCCTATTCCCAAAGAGCAACAACCCCCCGCCACCATGGCCATATCACCCTCTGCAGAGAAGCTCAAGGTCCCAGCACCCTGGGCTTCCGGGCCCAAGAGAGCAGCCACCACCCATTCAAAGGCCAATGGGTCCCTTCCAAGGCACTTCCTCCTGCCTACCACTCACGGACACATTTCTGTCTGGAAAAGAGCTTCTTACTGCTGTTATGTGTGATGGCATAGCTTACATTAAAATAATATTCTTGGGGAAAAAATTACAAGTGCTGTATATATGCTGAGAAGCTGCAAAGCTTAATGCTGCCATCCAAAAATCTTTTGGAAAATCATTTCCAGACACCACTTACTTTCTGTGCAGTTTTTAATTGCTAAAAAAAAAATTTTTTTTTTAAACAGAAGCACATGCCATGTGAAAGCCTGCCCAGCTGGTCGTTTCTGCAATCTTTTCATGTGGAATTTGTCCACAAGAATGAAAGTAGCAGTTTAAAAAAAAAGTTAAGTTACATATTTATTTTCTCACTTAAGTTATTTATGCAGAAGTTTTTCTTGTAGAGAATGACAACGTTAATATTGCTTTATGAAATATCAGTCTGTTCTTTCAGAATCCAGAAGCATTGTTAATAAAGACAATGAATTGTTACGGAAAGGATGTGGTCTTGTTTTGTCAACCACACGTGGTCATTTCTGTCAACGTTAACATCTTTCTCTTGGTCACTAGAGCTTAAACCTGGGAGGCACCTTTGATTGTGTTATGGTGGCCCTTGTGGCAATTATGTCCTTCCTTTGAAAGGTCATGTTCATCCCTTCCTTTCCAAACCGAGACCTCATCCCTTCACCTTGGCTATTGTATTAACCTCAGCCTGGTCTCCCTTTAGCAGCCTGCCCTTCACACTGTCTTCCAAAAACACTGTTCTCATCACGTCCTACCCCTGCTCAAAAATCCCTCAGTAGCTCCTCCTTGCCCAGGATCAAGTTCAGTCTTCTCACTCTGACATGGAAGTCGGCTTGATTTCCATCCCCCATTCTCCCAAACTCCCTTCATTACTCCCAAGTGGCGCAGACTGTCCTGATCCTTGCCCACCCGGCTTACCGCCCTTGCTTACCACCCCCAACAACTCCTGCTCTTTCTCTGGGGTGCATGTTCTTTGTCACCTCTACCGTGAACCTTCCAGAGATAATCCAATCCCCGATGATCCCTCTCTCCTCAGATGTCCAGCCCCTTTGTCCGTGCCACTCCTTTGGTTTCTGATTCTGTCTTCCATTGGACATTCACTCATGGACCACCTATTTCACCTGGCGGAGCTGTGCTTAGTACCGGGATAGACACAAAGCCAAGTACATGTTAGGACCAGCTCACAGGAGCTCAGTCAAGCTTCTTCCCAAATGTGAATTTTATGCCTCCCCAGTGAACATGTAAATCCTTCGCAAGCTGGGACAACGTCTTGTACTTTACTCAAAACTCTTACCTCGCCTAATAGTTCTGGACGCTAGCTGAGAATCAAGAAATATTCTTCCACCGCCGTAAGGAGGGATGATCAATTGCAAAACTTTGAATTAAGTCCAGCCCATCTTGGGGTAACCCCACCCCCAAAGTAAGCTGAGGTCCTCCCCCTAACTTCTCCCTTTAACTCCCAATGAGCACTCCTAAATTCATTATCATCATCAAGTCTTTGATAGGTGTCAGTGGGTGTTGCCGCTTCCAGGCCCCAAGGAGACCTCAGTGAGACCCTACAGGGAATCCACGCATCGTCAGGAGTGTCCCAGGGCCCAGAACACGAGAGCAGGTAGGAAATGGATACATCGTCCAGCCCCCAGATGCAGTGCGGCACAGGTGGGTGGGACACGGGCTCTGGAGCCAGGTTTGTGTTTGAATCTGAGCCGTGGGCTGAGTTCCCCTCCCTGACACTCACTCGAGCTGCTCAGAGCCTGGTTGGGTGGGCACGTGGGCAAATAATCAGGTCACATTGTCCTGTACAAAGTGTTAGGAGGACCAAGGACCGCAGTAATTTACTCTGTGGTGGGTGGGGATGAGGGATAAAGCTTAGGGAGGGTTTCACGGAGGTGCATGCTGCTTAGCGGTTCGCCAGGTGGAGAATGCAGCAGGGACATTCTAGGTAGAGGGCACGGCCCAAGCCAAGGCACTGAGGCTGAAGGCTCGTTGGCAGAGGAGACTCAATTCCTTAACGTGTACTGAGTCCTCGTCGTGTGTAAGGTAGCGTGGGGGAACCGGGGATTCAAACCAATGCCCCAACCCCGAGATACACCTAGGGTCGGCTTCTGGGATCCGGAGACCCAGGAGGGATGAGCCCAGGCTACACTCCCATTACCACGAGGGGAAAACAACCCAAATCTAAATTGTAGGTCGGGCTGGGAGTTATTTATGGAAAGTTATATTCTACCTACATGGGGTCTCTGAGCCTGGCGCCGATCAGAAACGGAACAGACAACAGGCTCAGCTGGGAGGGGCAGCGTTCTGCTGCAGGAGCATATGCTCTGGGGGTGCAGCCAGACGTGCGGCTTGTATTAATAGTCAGAGTCAGACAGAGGGACAGAAGGAAATAGGTCTCTCTGTCTCTCTGTCTCTGTCTCTGTCTCTCTCACACACACACACAAACACACACACACACACACACACACACACACACACTCCAAGGGGCTCCACCTAGATTGCAAGTACAAACCAGACCACCTTTGCCCAAGGAGGTAGAGTGAAAGAGACTCAAAGAAGCCAAACAGCAACCAAACGTCCGCATTTTCCTTGAAGCAGGCAGGACTTGGGCAGTTTGGGAGGGTGGAGAGCCTGCAAAAGCTACCTGCCTGTGAGCTGAGCTCAGAAACACAGCAGCTGGAGGCTGGTGCCATAACCCACACCGCTCGTACCTGATCCCAGACGCAGGCCTGCCCTAATTCCTGATCATTGATTCTAGCTCTGGGTCCTGCAGTTGTTCCTGCCCTCCCCTCCCCCACCCGTTCCTGGAGCGCATCCTCTGTCTTCTCCCTTGTCCAAGGGCAGGCAGAGGCTCAGACCTGGCAGCTTTGATCAATAGCTGAAGTTCCTTTTGTGGCCAGAGGGGCAGGAGGCAGGGGGACTGTCGCTTTTAATGAAATCACGCACCTGGTTTGTCCAGGACACCTATTGGCGCAGCGTAATTATTAACAACTCCCACTTTTACTCTCAAAAATGTCCTGGTTTGGGCAATAAACTATATGGTTCCCTTGCTGTTAAAAGATGCAACTTTCTTTGGACTGGCTGGAGCCCAGTTACCCATTTCCAAATGCTGGTCCTCTGCCTGGGATGCTCCTTAGTGCAGGGACTCTTGCCTGTTGCTGCTCCCCAGGGCACCCCAAGTACCCAGCATGCAGTAGGCGACTTATATGCATTGTGGTCGCATAGTTGTTGTTCAGTTTATTTAGGATTTCTTCCCTCGTGAGATCAGGTGGGTGGAATAGACTGGGATGTACAGATGATGGTGAGAGCGGGGAGGGGAAGATCTGACTTCTGTGCAAAAGAAGCTGTTTGCCCGGATCGTTTTACGTTAGGTTTCTGAGGCTAAGACACAGCTTTTACCCTCAAGCAGTTTATAATCTTGCTGAGGGTCAAGTGGAAAATGAGGGCACTAGGTACAACTGTGGAGTATGTGACCATTTGTCACCAGAGTGATAGTCAGGGGAGGGTGGGAGCTTGAGGGAACAAGGCAGGAGTGGGGTCCGCCTGAGCTTTGAAGGCTGCCAGGACTTAGAGGGGCAGAGAGGAGAGGCAACAGAAAGAAAGGGAGCAAGGGGGGGCCCATATCGGGTGGGGTGGGGTGATGCCAGCATGGCACCTGGCATGCAGCAGGCTCTCTCTCTCTATGATTATTACAGAAGGAAGCAGAAGCCAGGAAGGAGAGAAGGGTGGGGTGGGGGGAGATACTGTCAATCACGGCAGGAGAGAGGCGCCATCAACTGGCGAGGAGGGAAGGGCTGAGTACCCGGAAGGGTGGCATTGACTCCCGTGAGCAAGACAAGGAGCTGTGTCGCAGGTGCCGAGGGGCGCCGCAAACGATGCTCCGTTCTCCCCCGGCCTGGCAGGGCTGCTTTGGAGACTAAGTCCTGTCTTTCTTACAACCTCCCTCGGCCCTAGTTCCCAATTTCCCTCCAATCACCTGGGCTGTTTGAGCTTGGGTGCTGCCCACCAAGAAGGCCAGAGCTGGCAGTGGGCAGCTGCAGGTAGGAGATGGGTACCCATGAAGCAGAGTGGGAAAGGGAGATGGACAACGAAGAGCCCAGACCACAGACCTCACTTGCTTGACAACTTCCTGAGGTCTCATCCCGCCAGCAGTTTGAAGGCGGAGGCAGGAGAAGACGGACATGGAAAGAAGAGGGAGCCAGGCACCGCCCTAGGCTCCAGGCACGTGGTCGCCATCACGGAGCCTCTCAAAGCTCACGGCCTAGTG